GCCCCCGGCTGCCCAGCGCTCTCAGGAAAACAGCGGTCACACGCAGCAGTCGTCCCCTCCTGTATCTGTCATCCCGGAGTACAAAACAGCTCTTCTCGATTACTTAATAAGTGTGGGTTTTTAGGGTTTGTTCTGGTTTGGTGGTTTTTTTTTTTTCCCTTTTCTCTGTTGACGCCAGTTTTGTATGCCCTTAGACTCAGTTCTTCTCTGCTCTGCTAGTGGCCCGGCTTATTTTACACACACCTTGTTGGCCTCCAAGTTTGTGCCTCCAGACCCTGCTGAATAGCATTTTAGTCAGTGGAAGTGAAACGCACCTGAACCCAACTCAGAAAAGACAAAACACTGTTAAATACTATTGCTGCTGGTGTTATTTCTCTGCAATTTCAACTTGATACCATTTTTGTGATGTTATCTCTTGTCTACTTCAAGACATGGCAAAGAACTGCAGCTATGCAGCGGCCACGCTTCTTTGTGCTGGCTTTGTGGCCCAATATTGCTTGGAAATAGGTAAAGTGGTGATGTACCTCCCTGCCTAGACTTTCTGTACACAGTATCAGGTATATCCTCACAGCTTGGGGGTCCTTTACTGTTGGTGTTAGCGTAGAAGTGCCCTCACCCAGCATGCAGCTAGCAGCGTCCCAGCAGCGGTGGCTGAGATAGGTGCCCTCGGCTGCCCTCAGCTGCCCTTTGAGTTTATAGGACTGGAAAGCAGAGCACGCAGCTGTTTAATGGCCTTTTATTTTTTTATTTTGCAAAGGTTGTCTTTTCTTGATCAGGACGTGGCTTTAACAACTGAAATAGGAATTAATGAAGGTAGGACAGATTCTTTTTTTGGGTCTGTTGTTTTTTTCAATGAACTGTTGCTGTGGTTGTTGCCTGAGTCCATGTTATTTAAACTTAAGTGTTGCACGAAGTTCATTCTTATGAACTACATGTGCTCTCATTATATACATAGTTTAAGCTCTTGTTTTAGAAGAAAGTTCAGCACATCTTTCATATCTGAAAAATAGGTTTGCTCTTAATTTCTCCATTCTTCCTACGTACTTTAACTGAGAATGCCTGGCTTGGGAAGTATTGGAACTATATATAGGGATATCCTTTTTATTTAGATATGTGTATTGTGTTTGAGCAGAATAAAATAAATGGACTCTAAACACATAATAGTCATATATGGAATATATACACACAATAGTCATATGTAACTATAGTTGCATGTAGTATTTAAAAAAAACCTTGACTATTGTTAATATACCCATTCTCTTTAACATAAAACGTTTGGGTAGGGATGTTTAAGTGCATTATTTTAAGCATATTACTAAATTAAACATAAATGTGTGCACACTCATTTACAGCTTTAAAATCTTCCCTAGTAACTCCCTTAGAGCAGGTTGCATGAGCAAGCTTGTTGTAGTTACATAATAGTTTTAATGGTACCTCCTTGGCTTTTTTACGTAATCCATTTGACTTGCGTCCTGTACGTTTTATTCCCGCAATACAGAGACTGCCTATTCTTTAAGTGACACAAAAGGTTCTTAAATGTTCTTCCAGGCTTTTTTTTTTATCTTTTGGCCAATTTGAAGACCTGAGTGGATTATTGGTTTTTATGAACCTACTCTGAGTTAATAGAAATCTTATCTACAGCCCATTGAAATCTGCAGAAACTTTTCTGATGGCTGTGATTTTCTGATGCTGAACTTTTTGTAGCTGCTCAGTAGTTTTCTCTGAGGAAAGAAAGAAGCATCATCCCATTTTGAATTTACCTGTGGTTATCCACTGGAATTAAAACCTGGCAGCATTCAACATGCATGGTTTAAGGCATGTTTACTTGACTCACTGTTCAGTTTGTAGAGAGGGGATTTGTCTGAGGATTGGGTGGGGTTTTTTGGTCTCTAAATGTAATATATTGTGATATTATTAGTATTCTGCCTGCAGCCTTTTATAGTCAGTAAGTTGGAATTAGTATTTCATTATTCATGTATTTGTGCATTCTTGTATAGCAGCAATTTGGTGACAAGATAATTTGATGGGTATTTTATTAATGGCAGTAACAAGGGTCCAACCTTAAGGGTTTCTCTCTTTTTTTTTTTTTTTTTTTTTTTTTCTAGAGAGAAGTTCTTCCTTTGCATAGTCATTAAAAAAAGTATTCCATGTAGGATTACATTTTTTTCTAGGCCAGTGGATCAGACAGCTTACCAAAATTGCAGCTGTTAGTTTAAAAAATAAGAAAGAGCTAATATCCAGTATGAACTCAGGGACGGTTCCAGAACATTTCCCCCCCAGCTGGTTTTAATAATTTCTGGCCTCCTCTGTATTGTTTCAAAATCTAGTTAGATAGAATGTTTAACCGCATAAGGCCATTGCATATCAGAAGCTTTGATATATATACATCAACTACTGATTTACGTAGAAATTTATGGAGTTATGGAAAGTTATGTAGAAATTAAGGCACTAAAATATCCTTTATTTACTGCATTTTTCTTCTGTTGTTTTTTTTCCTAGGACCTCCATCTCCAGAAATCTGTTTTATACAGAAATTTTATGAACACACATATAGCAAGAATGAAGAACAGATAAATTCAGTAGGTATAGAAATTATCCATCTCATGCTATATATATCTAACTATAAATTATTAATAAACTCACTGGGCCTCCCATTCTTTATGTGCAAAATGGTGGCTTGCAGCTGCAATGAATTTTATGGCAAGACAGTTGTCATGTGTGTAGTACATTCTCTCCAGGAATGTATTGGTCTCTTCCCTGGTATTTCATGAGGGTATAACCTTTCGAATTTGAGGAACAAGCCCATGACAAAGATGAAATCATGGAGCACAAACTTTTTAGTACGGTCCCGTCAGGAGCTGAAAGATAACCATCTGAGTTACCCATGCCAGAATACACCCTCGATTGCTCATTATGAGATGAGCTGTGATCCAGCAATTGGGCAATTGTTTCTTTAAAAAATACAGTAGTCTGAAATGCAGAATAAAATGGCTACTCTGTGGGTAATTCTGCGTTTCCTAATCTACTGTTAGCCTACCTTTTAATATATTTGCCACAGTTGGTAGCTAGCCCATAAATTTCTGTTCAGTTGAGCAGTCAGCTTTCTACTTTTATATGACACGCTCATGAAACAATTGGAAACAAACAGGTTTCTACTCTTTTAACTGAAATTGATTTAAAGCCTGTGACTGTTACACTGTCTTTAGCGCTGTGGATTCACCAGTCCAAAGGCCACTGTCTATATATCCTTATTCCAGTATGAGGGTTTTTTAAAATAAGTAAGCTGCTTCCTAGATGACAAAAACTACATCAAAAAAAAAGACACTTCTTCTACTGAAGTGAATGTTTTTACAGAGCATTACAGAATTGTACATAAATTTGTCTCAACCAACAGCGCAGGAAACAATATCAAAAAGATGCTGTTATTTCAGAGGCTCTTCTCCATAAGTTTATTTTGCTGCTTGCATGTCCCAGGGTTGTCTTGACTGAAGTTTATCACAATTTTCTAAGGACGGGGGCGGGGGGATGCCCATTCAGTCTCCCCCTTTCTCCTCTGGGCACTGATCTGACTGCTGCCTAACCTATGTCTTTTGCTTCATGGCTTTCACCAGAGTAGTCAGTCTGCAGTCCCAGGGATGAATTCTTCCACATCTAAGGACAAATCCCCTGTCTGCAAAAGGAAGAGTCATAAAAGCAAAGAAATCTAGAACTTTTCACCAAATAGTTTGGGTAATACTCACTATTTTTTTTTTTGGTGAGACCTATATCATAGGCTACTGGTAGCCTGGTCATGCACAGCATGGGGACAGTATAAAATTTAAAACTTTATAGAATGCTGCAAGGAACAATATTGGCCTGTCACCTTCGATACTTGCATGAGTAGATTGCACCAGCGTGGCTCTTCACTCTGAGAGCCAACATGGAATGTACTTACATAGAAGCTTGCTTTCTACTGTGTCCTGAAAAATGATCTGATGTCAATACAGCATCTTGATGCAATGTGATATGAGGGTTGTGCAACCCGGAGTGGCTGTGAATTTTTTCAGGAAATGTAACAACTGTTCCAGTTGTTCCAGAGAGTCTTGGCTTTCTTTGTACTTCAGGTGGGTTCGGGGAGGCTTGGGTTATGCAGTCCTATCTTTGATTCTACCATGTAACAGATTGTAAGTAAGACTTTTCTTCCACCAGAGATGCAGTAGGTACACAGACAGATTTTGTAGGACTCAGGTTCTTTCCAACTGACAAGTCAAGTTGTTTCCATTATCTACTAACACCCTATTCCATGGCTTGTTTAGGCAGGCCTCATGATTATAAATTTGTGCTTTTCACCTTTTTGAGGCTTTTTTTTCCTTGCCCAGTTTAGTAAAGTGCACCTAAAGTTGTTAGGTGGCACTTGAGCTTTTGAGCATTAGTCTCTTTTTTGGAACACATCCAGAGTGCCCTCAGATAGCTGGCTGTATAAATAAGTGCTCAAATGAGAAAAATCCATTGAGTTTTGCAGGAATTTCCTTACCAAAAATAAGAGAGCAGGAGAAAAGACTGTTTCCAATACCTGCAGTCAGCGGCCACAAATACTGTTTGTCTAACTTCTACGATTTGAGAAGGCCTCTCAGCCAATCAGCAATACACTGATTTTGCTTAGAACCTAATTTTTTAGCAGACAAAATAGCTCCTTCTGAGATGTAACACTAGTTCATTGAGCTTTAAGTGTCTGTCTGAGCATTGTTAGCCAGTCAGAGAGGTTTAGTAGTTGTTCTGCTATGCTCCTGACCTCGCTTGGTCTCTGGATAATGTTCTGTGTAAATACCCAGGCTGATGCGTACAAAGGGTGTATTTAGCAAAGTCAACAACCTTCTGCCAGCTATGCCAGGGCGATATTTTGGATCTACATCAGTCAATGATTGTTGCACAAACTGTTTCTGTTCTGTTCCAGGAAGCCTTTTAGTAGTCCTTCCTAGTCAGCAGTCTCCACCTGTTACTCTTCAGGTGATTGCTACAATGGTGTTTTTACTGTGCTGCTAATACCTTGTGCAAGCCAAATAAGTCATCACTTGGTGCCCACACCAAGATGTTCTTCTCCACAGTTTTCCTAGTGCTGGGAATGTTCTCCACTGTATGTCAGAGAATTGTTTAAAATTGCAACCAGTATGCTGATAGTCCACTAGTAATCCCCATTTTCACTTGCCCATCTTAATGGTTGCCTTAGACTTTACCTGAGTGTTCCTTTTTCCATACGAGAGAGGATCTCTCCCTTATACACGGTCAGAGGCACAAAAAGTAGATCCAAGCTCCCTTTAGTAAAGAGTTTGAGTTCTGCTCCTGCTCTGACATCAGATCTTTCCTTACCCACAGGGGCTTTCCCATGTCTGCATGTGGCAGGCCCGCCCCCCCAAGCCTGCTGACGTGCAGG